GGGGGGCCCCGGGGTGAGCGGGGTCTTGGGGCAGCCCCGTGGTGCTCAGCCTGGGCCGGGTGGGTCCTGGCAGGTCCCAGCCACCCTATGTCACCTGTTCCAGTATGAGAAAGCACTGGCCATGAGTGACCCAGGCCTGTGTTTTGCCCGGAGGTCAGGGAGTACCCAGGGCTCGGGGACGGCACCTCCTCCCCAGGGAGCTGGATCCACGCTGGCACAACCCGTCCCACGGCAATGGTGTGAGTGTGCTGCGGTGGGACTGTGCTGGGACGGGCATGTGGGACCATGCTGGGACAGGCATGTGAGACTGGGCACCAGTGGCAGTGCTGGGTGATGCCCTGTGCAGGAGCCCAGCCTGCCCCGCCAGTGGCCGGGGTGGTGCCCAGCAGGCACTGAACTGCCCCTTGGGGCCGGCCGTGCTGTGCCAAGGACCCAGAGCTATCCGTCCTTCCTCAAAGCTTCTCCAGCATCAAAACCTCGCAGTTTCTTTATTTAAATGCAGCTGTGTCTTATTAAAATTAATTCCCTACTTGATATTTTCCCTGCAGTCCCTCAGATTTTTTTCAGAAGAAACCAGGCACTGTCCTAGAGCGGCTGCTCACTGCATGAGTCCATGAGTCCAAACACGCTGGAGACATGGAGCAGGTATTTGCCGGTTGTAGGTGTCGTTTTTAGACACAGGATTTTACCAGAGGTTTTAACAAGCGCTGCACTGAGAGTCAGAATGAGTGAGCACCTCTCCAGGTTAAGGCCACATCTTCAGCAAGTGGGGTTAATTCAGATTTACTAGGAAATAAGGAGCCTTTATCCTTCCCACACCCCAACTAATGAGGGCATGACAGAAACCCTGAAAAGAAAGGGACTAATTATTTATAAGGACATTTTCCAGGCATTGTGTTTCTAAAGCACATTTTATTCTCCAGAGCAGGTATGTTTCAGAAGTACAGAGTTTGCAATGTTTTATTCTGATTATAAAGCAACTAAAATAAAAACAGCTCAAAGGGGAAGAACCCAGCAAGGGAAGCAGAAGAGCTCTGCAAAAGAGGTGAAAGAAAAATCGCTTGGCAGACCAGGGTGCGCCCTGCTGCCTCCCGCTCCGCTCCCCCCCAGCAAAGAGGGAAGCCCCACACCCGCTGCAGAGAGGCAGCGACGGAGCCCTAGCAGTAGGTAATGGGTTTGATGAGGATGGCAGAAGCTTTGCAGTTCCCGTTGCACAGGCTGCCCCACGTTATGGCCCCCTTGACGTTCAGCCGTACAGAATAGCACCCCGAGTACCACCACCCGCCCCCGTTGCTGGAGGCACAGTTCCCGCTGGAAGTGTCCTGATCCAGATCTTTCGCGGAGAACTTCATGTTGTCATGCGTGGTGCTGGGACTCTTTGAGGCCATGGCATCCTCTGCTGTCCCTGAGTACGCTCCCAGCCTCAGCCGGTAGCCCTGGGACTCATCTTCCACGTTGAAGATGTTGTAGTCTGCAAACTTGGTGTTGTTTGCGGCATCACAGATGACAAACCTGACCTGGTCGACCTTCTGGTTGGAGATCTGATGGATGTACTCGGTGCCCAGCCAGTACTCGGTGTGCACATTCCCAAAGCCGTACTTGTAGGTGCTCCAGGACTCGGCCCAGGTGATCTCCGTGCTCTGCTGGTTCCTCTGGATGACCGTCCAGCCCCCGTCCGTCACGTTCATTTCGCAGTACACCACGATGGGGTGCAGTCCCGTGGGCTGGATGACGTAGACGCCGCTGGGGCTGCCAGCGGGGATCTCGCTGCAGTCCTTGGGCCAACCTGGGGCAGGAGAGAGGGTGGTTTGACAAAAGCCTGTGCCACGAGACCAAGGCGCAGCCCGTGATCTTTCTGTGGCTGGTTCTGCAAGACAAAAAACGTTAACGAGACCTGAACGGCCTGAGGAGCACGGATCGTGCAAACACCATCCTCACCTGAGCACACAACGCCGGCGTCCTCGCTGTGCCTGCAGTTGTGCTCTCCCCAAGCCCGCGACGAGCACTCCCTGAGGAGCGTCTCGTCCCCGTTGCAGTTAACGTCATCCAGCCAGATATTCCCAGATCCACTCCCGAAATAAGCATTGCTTGGGGCTGACACTGCCTCCCCGCAGCCGAGCTGCCTACACACCACAGAGGCATCTCTCATGTCCCAGCTGTCATCGCACACCGTTCCCCACTCATTGCGGTACCAAACCTCCACCCGTCCGGAGCACTTGCTGGAGCCGTTCACCAGCCGGAGCTGACCTGGAACAAAGAAAACAACAGTAGGGACAAGACTTGGAAATGGCGGCGGGAACATCAGCAAAGAAAGCTGGAGGACAGATCAGGAGGTGCTTTCTGGCTCAAGAAGTGGCACCCAGGCAGTAAGATGTAGGGCCTTCACACCTCTGGTTGTGCTCCCAGCTGGAAAAGGAGTCTTTGTCTTCTGAAGTCTCCTTTTCCAGCTGTTTTTGGTGTGTTGTGGCCTCAGAGACTGGGCACGGGTTTGCCAAGTGTTCCCTCAGCCAAGTGGACATCAGCCATCCCCTCCCGCCACTGCAGGAGCTGTGCTTCACCCTCCTGGGGCTGTGAGTACCCTGGGAGTGAGGCTGAGGGTGAGGTAGGGAATGGTGCAGTCTGGTGAAGTACCCTCAGACAAGGGTATTTCACAGGAGAAGACCACTTTCCTAGTTCTTAGCCATGGGACAAGCGAAATAGCTGGAGATGCTGGTGGCAGGAGAACCCTTCCTTTCTTCTGCATCCTTCCCGCTGACTGTCCCTACCGACCTCCAGTGGGGCAGGGGATGTGTGAGGGGGGACAGCCTTGGCTTCAGGAGGGGATCAGAGCAAACCCTCTGGGCTTCTCCACACCTACACATGAGCAGAAAGGCCCGTGCCTACAAGGTCCCGTATCCGCACCCACCAGACATCGAGGAGGGGCAGGTGACTCATGCTGGGGCATGTGTCTCTCTTGAGGGATGCTGGGGCTCTGCTGACAGCTTTTGGGGAGCACTGGGTTGGAAGACAGCCTGCTCTGAAGTGATCCTAGCCGTGTCCTTCTGGCAGAGATGGAGACCTTCCATGTACCTACCATCCGCTAACGTGTTCAGAGCAGACACGGTGTTATTCAAGACAGATTGATTGGAGAGGGAGAGGCTTCGGGTGCTCCTGGTGAGATGTGGGGCAGGCAGGGACAACATACAGGCAAGGAGAAGGAGGGGAGCGCACCGGACAGCTGGAGGAGGAAAGGACGAGAGTCAAACAGAGCATCCCACTGTCAGAGTAAAACACGCAATGGGGAGCCAGCTGCAGCGAGGTGAAACAGCTGTAAGTCACCCCAAACCTGCAAGGGCAGCGCGGGGTGGCCTTTCAGACATGAACCTTGTAGCCAGATGCCTTCTTGTCCCCAGGCTTCAGGCCAGAGCCCAAGGTGCCCAGGAAATTTGGGGAGCAAAATCAAGCAATCCCAAGAGAGTCCTTTGCAGACCAGAAGAAACCTGACCAAAGTGTTTTATCTTTAAGCACAAACTTTAACAGAAACCTCGCGGAAATATTTTCTGCCCCTCTAGGTCACTAAACAGCTAGATGGTTTTTCTTCAGACCTTCCACTACACTCCGGAAAACTCAAATAAAAAACCCCAAGTTGTACTCAAAAATACTGATGATGTTCAATTTAATTATAATAATAGTTATCCCAAGGTTAAAACCTCAACATTCATTTAAAGATGGCATCACAGCTGCACCTCTGGGGGCTACAGCAACGTTGGATTGTGAAACATCTGGAACAGGACTTTTCCAACGGTGCCTCTGTTTCGAACACCCCACAACGATAGACCCTTGATAGCAATTGGAAACCTACGCTTTTCATCCACCAGTAAATTCAATCTTGCATTTTTAACATATTTTAACGCTTAGATTTATGACTCTGCTGGGCCAGAACTAAAGCGCAGTGACTATCTGCTAGACATGAACCCATCCTTTGCTCTGAGCCTGCCCCTGCTCTGCTGGGATTCCGAGGAGGTGAGTTGCTGCGATGTTTTCCTTTGTTCAACATCTTTTCTGTCCCCGCTGACCCACCTGCCTGGGGAAAGGCCACTCTGCCCTTCCCTCCGCAGGTTTTGCCCTCCCGCTCCCGAGCACAGCCCTTACTTCAGCAGCCCAGGCAGACCCTGGCTGCAGAGACCTGCACTCGCTCTGCCTGGACCCTGAGCCTCGCCGAAGCTCTTCCCGACGCGCTCGCAGCGATGCGAGGTGTGGTGAGCCCCTGTCCCACCAGCCAGAGCCGTGGGGTGACCGGGTCTGCAGGACAACCAGCAGGTCTGCGCCCCTCGAGTGTGACCCAGAGCTGACCTGACCCTCCTCTGCTCCTCGGTCCCTGGGACAGAGCAGCACGTGGGTTCCCTCTTCCCCCACCCGACCCCTCCTGAGCTGGGTCGGGCAGACCCAGCGACTTGCACGTCCCTCTCAAACCTTCTCCCTTGCCCTGGGAGAAGCAGCACCGACCTTGAGTCTGCCCTGCTTTGTGGCATCTCCTGCCTCTGTGGTAAGTCCTCCAACCGTGGCAGCAAACTGATGGCTCTGCCAGGGGGGAGGCTCTCAACAGCCCCCCCCCGCCTCTGTCAGCACTGCTTCTGGGGGTCCACGGACCGGGGAACCCACCCTGCCCTACTCCCTCCCCTCCCGACTCACACTCACCCATGCCAACTCCACGGGGACACTTGCAAGTTCGGAAAGTTACTGTAGATACGCTTTGAGTCTCAAGATTTATAGCTGTGCCGTGCCAGGGGAGGAGTGGGGCTGACACTGCCGCCGCTAGTCCCGTCCCATTCTCCAGGTGTGTCAGTGAGCTGCCGCCTGTGACCCTGTCCCCTCCTCAGGGATGTTCATCTGCTCTGATAACAGCCCTTATCGGGCCCTGAGCAAATACAGACCAGGAGTGGCAAAGGCATCCATGCACCTCCCATGTGTCAAGCAGGGCTTTTCCTGGACATGCCACCAACGGGTGTTTGGAGACCTTTGCTGAGCTCCTTCCTGCCACCTCTGCAGGGCACCAACCCTGGAGATACAGCCCCGCTCACCAAACAGCTAGGCAGGGTCCGGGCTCCCTCCTGCTGGAGGTGGACAGGAGCTGGGTGCAGCAAAGCAGCACCGTGGAAGACCCCAGGGATGTCCCTGCGTTCTTCTGGAGCAAACACACTGCGTGGATCAATAGGAGTCACAGGCACAGGGCGGGATGGTGGCAATGTCCAGCTTGTCAGGTCTGGGGCTCATGTCAGGAACGGAGCTAAAGGGGCTGGGCCAGTTGAAACGTGGGACTGTTTCTGTCTGTGTCTCGGGTGACAGCAGGTATCACTCCAGGGAGCACCGGGAGCTGGGAAAATCTCCTGCCTCTTCCAACTGAGAGTGGAGAGATTCTGTAGTTCACAGCACGAGGCAGACATGTGCCACCAGCCATCACTGTGCAAGGACTCTCCTGTCTACAGTACACCCTATGGTGGCAAACGACACCTTTCGCCCCAGCAAGCTTTGAGCTATGGTTGCAAAAAACCACAGAAAATAGCATTTTCCAAAGTCTCACATTTGAAAAAGAGCTGAACAGCATCAGCAGCTGCAAAAATCTCATCCACAAGAGTTTCAGGACAGAAGGGGCCCTTTCCCCAGCAAGGCTGAGATGACTGTGAAGGTCGAACAAGTTGTACTGCTTGCATGGAGAAGCCCAGATTACCCCAAGACACTTCCAGAGCTGCTCTTGGGCACTAACTCGCAGCTCAGCCATTGGAATAGAGCAAACAGGGAGGTAAACAGGATTTCCAAAAAAGTGAATAAGTGAATCGAGAAAGTAGAAGATTTTTTCCCCTGTGTACTTTGCTTGTTACAGGATGTTTCAAAAACATTTTCTCTCATTTCTGCAGAGACGTGATGCTTGGACCATTCCCCTGGGAGGGATGGGATGCTATCCCATTTTCCCAGCATTTCTGTTTCATGACAGGTCCATGGAAACGCCACAGGTCAGCCAGAACTGTGGCCACTGGTATGGCCACGAAGCCACGCCAAGCTCAGAGAAGTCTTGTCTGAGAAGTCGTGAGTTTCTACCTGTGAAGTGGGGTATCACCAAGCAGACAACGATGCTCTTTCAGAGCTCTGGACATCACAGACCCGGGACCATCGATCACTGCTGGGGTGGATCCACCCTTACAGTCCTCCCCTGCACCTCCTGACTGCAGAACCCATCCAGATGAGGCTGAAGTGGCTTCATGGCAGCGTGGAGCTGCCCTAACACTGATAAAAAGCAACTCCCAGCAGCCACAGCCTCCCCGGCCCTCCCAGGGCACAGGCAGGGGCAGCCTTGGGCAGCGAACAGGCAAGAGGCAGCTCCCACCACCGCAGGGATGCCCAGTGTGGGCTTATTGAACCACCACTGCATGCTACTAGCAAGCTGTTCTCCACTGGTTTTATGGATATTTGTTTCTAAGCAGATATTTCTACCTCCTGCTTCTTTTCCTTATTGGCCTCTGGAGCATCTGCAAGATGGGAAATGTTTGACTGCCAGCTGTGAGGTGTGAGTGGTGTTTTCTTTTCCCGGAAGAAATCTCAAAGCACATCCCAAGTACAGCAAACACTAATATCTCTCACTAATACCTGCGCACACAGATAAAATTTTACTGCAATGGATGTGTCACTTTCAGTGACTATTTCCAGCATTACAAACTAGGATTAAGTTTCTGTAAAGCAAATATTAATCTATCGGGAAGACTGAACTCAAAGATTTAATATGTGGATGAGGGAAAGGCTGTGGATGTTGTCTACCTAGACTAGGGTCAAGCCTTTGACACTGCTACCCACAGCATTCTCCTGGAGAAACTGGCTGCTCATGGCTTGGATGAGCGCACTCTTTGTGGGGTGAAAAACTGTCCGGACGGTCGAGCCCAAATTGTTGTGGTGAACGGAGTTCAAACCAGCTGGCAGCCAGTCACCAGTGGTGTTCCCCAGGGCTCAGCGCTGGGGCCAGTTCTGTTTAACATCTTTATCAACGATCTGGATGAGGGGACGGAGTGCACCCTCAGCAAGGGTCCAGGTGACACCCAGCTGGGTGGGAGTGTTGATCTGCTGGAGGGCAGGACGGCTCTGCAGAGGGATCTGGGCAGATCGATGGGCCGAGGCCAATTGCATGAGCTTCAACAAGGCCAAGTGCCGGGTCCTGCATTTGGGTCACCACAACCCCACGCAGCGCGACAGACTTGGGGACGAGCGGCTGGAAAGCTGCC